AAGACACCGTTTTGTCCTTATTAAGTTGACACTATTCAATGACTGTGTCTAAGGCTGGCAGTGAAGATGACAAATGAATCTTCACCCACAAGCTGCTGCTAGCCTTGAAGCTGTTATATTCCTTATGGAAAACAAGTGTCGTCTACCCAAAACACCAGAGATATTATATTTGAACCAATAATCTCATTTACAGAGCCTTTTCCAACAGGAATACTTCAACAAAGGGACTCTATTCAAACACAATTTTTGATTGGCATCATTAGCTATAAAAAGCAGGAATAGAAACCACCTGAGAATGCAACAGAATCATGGTTTAACAAGTTTTTACGATTTTAGTGTAGCCATTAACAGCTGTAAAAAAAAATTAACAGCTGTAGAAACATAGGAAATTCTTTACAATATTAAACAGGGAGGGAAAGGCAGAAATCACAACCGTGTTCTATAAATGCTGCTTTGTAAATAACATGTGTGTATTTTGGAAACTAACATTTGCCCTGAAAGAAGACACACAATTCTGTGTTTATCCTTCCAAAATAACCAGCAACTGAAAACACCTACCTACTCCTTATGTCCAAACACAATTGTGCAGTTGCTCATGTGCTGGGTACATTTCCTGAAATCCTTACGACAAACCCTAAAGGAAGGGATTATCCTCATTTTGTGGGCTTGGAGAGGTTAGGTGACTTCCCCAGGGTCAACCAGGGCTGTCTGCACCCCAATCTCTTATGATTTGTCACAGTCCTGTTCAAAGGGGGAGGAAAGTTGGATCAGAGTATTAGAATTATGCCCACCCATACTTTCTTAATACCATTCTCTCTCTTTGCAAATGACCACAAGGACAAAACTGGTTGCATGGAAATGGGTTAATTTCAAACACAGGCAGTCTCTGAGCTCAGAGTAGGGATGGTTTGCATGTCAGGACAGGAGAGAGAAAACTGGTCACTTTTTGTCCTTTGTATTATACCTTCTGGGTACATTAGTAAACAGGAGATTCCATCTCTTGCCTAAGGATCATGAGCTGTGTGAAATTCAGCCTGTGTCCATCTTTCCCTCTAAGAGTCCTTGCTGATCTATACCACATGGCAATGAAGATCCCCAAACCACTGACCTACACTCCACGTCAGAGCTTCATGCACTAAAAACAATGGGTGGGCCTCGAGTGCCTTAGACAGAGGTCCAGTGACAAAGCTGACTTGAAAAGTCAGTAGCTTCCCAGGTCTTGGCCCTTAAAAAAAATAAAAAAAAAATAAAAAGAAAGAAAAGTCAATAGCTTTCCTTAGTCATCTATATCCAAAGCTGTAGCTTCAACTGGAAATACAAACAAATCCTCTTAAAATTCCCCCATGGAACCTTTCTATATGTAAATATGTTTCAAAATTTCCAAATATTTATATGTAAACACATTTCAAAGTTTACACAGACACCATGTATGACTAGTATATGAAGTATGATCAGGGCACCTGCTGGATAGCTTTTCTAGATACTGCCATGGTTTCCTGAATGTCCAGAGCTGGTCACAGAGCCTCACTTTTTGCTCCATCTAAAAGTTAACACCTTCACAAATTCCAGGGCCGAGAAGTCAAGAAATCTAAGGGACAAGGGCCACATCTGATGTTTAATCTGTCTCCTCTGCTGCATTTAAAGTCAGCGTAGAGGACTCAACTGAGCTGACAAACTCTTCCAAGACAGCAGAGTTCACACCTTAAGTTTTGAACCAAAATCATACTGCAAACACGTGGTTAGTATTTTTATGTCCCTCAGAAACACTTGTACTTGGCTTGAAACATCTGCGGAGTTTCCCACCAATGGTCAACAGTTTTAACTACCTGTTCTGGCTTCCCAGATTTGAACAAGTCAACAGGAGTATGTCTAAGTTTCTCCTACAAACCTGAGAGCTTTAAAGACTTATGGTAATAATCCCAATGTAGGGCTTCTAAAACTCCTAGTGTTTTCCTGGGCTGGCGGTAGTGTGCCTTTTTTTTTTTTTTTTTTTAGACCAAGATCCTCGCTTTGTTGCTCAGGCTAGAGTGAGTGCCGTGGCATCAGCCTAGCTCACAGCAACCTCAAACTCCTGGGTCAAGCAATCCTCCTGCTCAGCCTCCTGAGTAGCCTGGACACGCATGCGCCACCATGCCCGGCTAATTTTCCTATATATATGTTAGTTGGCAATTTGTTACTTTCTATTTATGGTAGAGATGGAGTCTCGCTCTTGCTCAGGCTGGCTTTGAACTCCTGACCTTGAGCAATCCGCCCCGCCTCGGCCTCCAGATGCTAGGATTACAGGCTGAGCCACTACGCCCGCCGGTAGTGTGCCTTTACAGAGATTGACTATGTGTTCTACTATATCAGGCTGTGCACTAAGTGTGCATTATCTTATTTCATTTTAGAGAATTGAATTATTTCCCCATTTTACAGATGAGGAGCCTGGTCTCCTGCTGCAGTTTCTCACGAACAGAACCTCCTGCCAAATACCCAACCCAGGCCCACCCTGGCTGGAGGTTCCCAAAAGGTGCCCTTGCTAGTGCTGCCCTAGCAGGATCCCTGGAGCACCAGGCCCCAGCAGGTCGGCTGTGATGTCTTTTAAATCTGCCTATGGAGTACTGCAGAATTTTTATTAAGAGTTATAGCTTTAAAAATAAACTATACACTAACCACTACCCTGGCCCACCTCTCCAGGGAGCTGAAAATGAGAGATCTTGCATTCTACTAGTCCAAACTCCCATAGCTACTCAGGAATAGGCTGTCCCTGTGGGGCAGGGGTGGGGTGAGACCCTGGGTATGGGGTGTGTATCCACCAGCCCACAGGCAATTAAGGAAGTAACATCACCCATGCCAAGGATTCAAAAACAAAAATAGCTAAACTGATTACAAGTTTCATATTTTTATTATTTCATTATCACCATCAATGGATAATGTCAGTGGTAAAATACTCCCCTAAAAAAAAAAAAAATCTTTTTGCTGGCTGATGCAGTGGCTCATGACTAATCCCAGCACTTTGGGAGGCCAAGGAGGGAGGATAACTTGAGGCCAGGAGTTCAAGACCAGCCAGAGTAGCAAGCAAGACTGCCCCTACACTGTCCCTGCAAAATTTAAAAATTAGCCAGGTATGGTGCCACACACCTGTACCCCAACTACTTGGGAGGCTGAGCCACAAGGACGTCTCGAGCCTAGGAGTTCCAGGTTACAGTGAGCTATGATCAGGCCATTGTCCTCAGACTGGGAAACAAAGCAAGACCTTGGCTCTTAAAAAAATAATAATAATCTTTTTGCAGTAGTTACTACTCAGTTTTAATACATACTCATGCTTTAAACAAACACTTTAAAATTGCTTATCCGTTAATGCACATTGGAGTCTAGGGAAGCTAATTTCGAGAATTCCTGGTTATACAGGTCACCAGGTTCAGCTGTGTGTGCTGCTGCAGGAGGAAGCTGAAGCTGCTTCCGGCACTTAATGTCTCCAGCCCTCTCTGTTACATATTCCTGCATTTGCATAGCAGATTTGAAATAACCAATTAGGAAAACAAGGAACAGAAAAGGGAAAGAAAATTTAAAACAACCTATCCCAAAACAGAATGCTTGCTTTAATTCCCTCACCCTCTGTAAACCACTTGAAGTTTTTGTTTATATTCAACAATTTAAAACAGAGAAACATACAGAGAATCTTAATTATCTATAAAAATTCAAAATGGATTCAAGGACAGGAAAAGAAAATGTCACTGCCTGAGGTTCGTTTCTGGTCATTATTATTATTCATTTCATTATGAACTGACAATCTTGTCCTACAGAAGAGGGGATGTTAAAAACAGATCCACACTGGGTGCAAATATTTGGGGTGCAGCACTGGGGCTTTAGCTGCTCCCCATATCACACTGCTGGCATGGGTTGAATTATGTCCCCTCAAGTCTCTGTGTTGAAGTCCTAACTGCCCAGCACCTCAGAATATGACTTTATTTGGAAATAGGGTCGTTACAGATATAATTAGTAATGGTGAGGTCATTAGGGTAGGACCCAATCTAACGAGACTGGTCTCCTCATAAAAAGTGGAATCTGGACACAGATACGGGGAGATGGGAGTTATCCAGCCACAAGCCAAGAAACCACCAGAAGTTAGGGGAGAGGCCCAGAACACACTTCTCCCCAGCACCCTCAGGGGGAGGATGGCCTGCCAACACCTTGATCTTGGACTTCTGGCTTCCAGAATCATGAGATAATACATTGCTGTTGTTTAAGCCACTGTGTGTGTGCTGCTTTGTTACAGAAGCCCTAGGAATCTAATACATGGCTTTCATGTGTAGTTTTCAAATTTGAGGGTGCCTTTTAAACTCCTTAATTCCTACAGAGGATGTTACAGTCAGCTACTGCCAAATTATGATTCTATGTCTATAAATTCAGAATCTACCTTCTCCACATGACTGTGCACATAAAAGGCAAAGCTGTGGTTAGCTGTTGTAGCAATTTGTATAATTAAAACCTAAATGGCCATGTTTTCTCTCTTCTAATTACCCTAAGGTAAAACATGCTATTTCTCTGTGGCTTATCCAGGTTATAAGAATTATTTGCAGGAGATAATCTGAAGAAATAACAACTGGTATTTAATGTAAATCAGATGTCCTGCTGAAACATGGATGCCTCACTCCTGCCTTGTGCAAACTCTTCTGATTTGCATTTAAGAGAAAACATACACCCTTAAAAGGATCCAACATTTATTAAAACATCTTCAAAATGCTTTGGGGTTTTAATAAGTGTCAATTAAATAAACTTTCCACTCAACCTCTTAAAAAACATGGCCCCAGGAAAAATGCCAGTTCATTCTAGAACTTTTTTCTGCTGTGATAGTATCTCTCCTCAATCAATATTTGCTTCCACTTTAAAATCTCTGTGTACCTTTTTTGGGAGCAATGAGAGCTTGGGTTTGATTTGGCAAAATGCACCCACCCCCACCCCCTACCCCCAATCTCCCCTCCACAAAGGCACGTGGTACAGAGAGAACATGAGTATTTTTTAAACTCTGAAGTGGAGAGCAGCCCAAGATGGCCGACTTCAAGGATCAGGTGTCGGATGAGGAGAAGGTACGCATAGCTGCTAAATTCATCACTCATGCACCCCCAGGGGAATTTAATGAAGTATTCAATGATGTTTGGCTACTACTTAATAATGACAATCTTCTCAGGGAAGGGGCAGCACATGCGTTTGCCCAGTATAACATGGATCAGTTCACACCTGTGAAGATAGAAGGATATGAAGATCAGGTCTTAATTACAGAGCACGGTGACCTGGGTAATAGCAGATTTTTAGATCCAAGAAACAAAATTTCCTTTAAGTTTGATCACTTACGGAAAGAAGCCAGTGACCCCCAACCAGAGGAAGTAGATGGAAGTCTGAAGTCTTGGAGAGAATCCTGTGATAGTGCTTCAAGAGCCTATGTGAAAGATCATTATTCCAACGGCTTCTGTACTGTTCACTATTATGAAGATGGCAATGTTCAGTTGGTTAGTCATAAAGATGTACAGGATTCAGTAACTGTTTCGAATGAAGTCCAAACTGCCAAGGAGTTTATTAAAACCATAGAGAATGCAGAAAATGAGTATCAGACAGCAATTAGTGAAAACTATCAAACAATGTCACATTCAAGGCTTTGCGCGGCAGCTTCCAGTTACGCGCACCAAAATCGACTGGAACAAGATACTCAGCTACAAGATTGGCAAAGACATGCAGAATGCTTAAAGGCTGAATGTAGGATTCTTCAGTATGTGGAAAGAAAAGGATTCAATGTATGGTCCTATGATAAATAAGTGATTTATAAACAAGAGTGATATTTTGCTAGGGCTTTCAAAGTTAATAGGTTTTCTAGCCTCATGGAATACTGTTGAACCTATAACATTGTCTTGATTCTTTTGTGTTCTCTGCCTTGTAATTTTCTGTTATCACTATATCTACTTGCAAATTTTTTTTTGTTAATTTTGCTACACTTAATGTTGGAGAGAGAGATCTATCCTGGAGTCATTTTACTGTTTAGAAAATTTTCCTAGCCATGAAGCCCTGTTATTGATTTAGATAAAGTAATATGTTCAGTACTTTCTACCCCTGTCCTTCAAAGAACTTCTGGTACTTCAGTGGTTTTTGCTTACCCACCAACAGCAGTTAAAGAGGCTATGCTATATAAACTATACCTAAATTGAAGACACATTCATCCTTCTTCCTCCAATTGCTTGATCATCATTTATTAGCATCTTCATAACAGTAGTTTTCCAAAAGTTTGGATTGGGACTTTTCAGGTCCTTTTGTGGGTGTCAGGTGGGCGAGGGGGTGCGGGAAGAAATTTCTGAGAATTCCATTATAAGGCCAGCTTTTTCTGGGGGAACTTGTTTTTAATCCAAAGACTTGAACCAGCATTCCGTGCACACGAACATGTTTGCTTTCTTCCCTTCCCTCATTGCCTTTCTTCCCCATCTAGTACCATTGTAGTTGTAGACATCTGCATTTAGAAGAGTTTTTCCCCCATTTTTTTTTAAACATTTAAGAACTACTAACATACTGTGGATATAGTAGAGTATAAACTTGAAAAAATGCAGATGTTGAAGGAATAAGTAACCTTGGTGCTTTAATACTTTGTGGCAGGATTGTGCTATAAGCAAGTGAATCAAACAACTATGTAAATCACAAACAAAAACATAAAAATGAACCAAAGTGAAAAAAGATAACGTCCAGGCAGTATCTTTCTATTGTAACCTGTTTATTAAGGGAATACTAGTGATTTCTTCTAAATAGATGTAACAACTTTTCCAAATTACTCTTCCTCAGTCCTGCCTGCCAAAGAACTCAAGTGTAACTGTGAATATAGCAACCCTTCCCAGGTATATGGCAGGTATGTGTGTGATCTCAGAATACACAGTGACATAGATATGACATGACAGCTGGTAATGGTGGATTCATTTACATTGTTTACACTCTATGACCAGGCTTTAAGGGAAGGTTCAGTTTTTTAAAAAAAACCAAGTAGTGTTTTCTTATCTATCTCCAATAATGTCAAAAAGAAGGGTGTTTTCTGCTTAACTTTGTTTTTCTCAAGTAATACAGTCAAGCAAGAGTTTGTTTCCAAGTGACCATTGAGCTGTATAAAGCATTTTTTGTTTATTTTCAAAATAAATATATTTAATTATTGGTCATTCATACTATCCATCCATAACCACACTATCTTCCGTTATCAGGAGTCCAATAAAGTATTACTTTGTTTTGTTTTTTGTCTAAAAAAAAAAAAAACCTGAAAGTGAAAATACCACCAAGCCAAATAAATTGTTTCATATTTTTTTTGTTCCTTCTCATGTTCCCCTTTCTCCATAGACTAGACTTCAACTCCCCATCCTTCCTGGAAAGTGAAAATAATAACTTTCTCAAATGCACAATGGGACTCCTAATGAGAAAAAAACCATTAACTTCTTAACCCTATTTTGTTATCAAAAATACCATCATAACATTATCCTTACTATTAAATTAACACTTATTATAAAACTCATGATTATTTGAGCATTTACTAATCTAAAAAATTTACCCCCAGTTATAACCTTTTTTCTTTAGGTTGAAGGCACCTCTACAACTAAGTTTTGAAGTCTTGTATCTAGGAATACAGAACTCACTTGTCATTTGTTCACTAATAGGTCTGGGAACAGCAGGGCTTGTGCTGAGTTTGTCTAGAGGGGATTGCTCATCCTGCAATCAACCCTCCACTTTGCACCCCTCCTCCACACTTCATCAACTGTCCGCCAATTAAATCAATGCCAGGGAATACATTCCCATAACAGAAGGCAAATCTAACTAGCCTGGAATTGATTTACATATTCGTTCTTTGAACACCAGAGCTCTTTCTAAAAAGAAAGGGAATTAGTGAAAGAATAAAAAGAAAAGCATCCAGGATAAATAGAGAGTAATAGTTCCATAATAATCAGCACACCCAAGTCAGAAATATATCAAGAGCACCTGCCCATACCTTGCAAAACTCAAGGGAAATACCAACAACTTTTTTTTTGGAAATTGTCAAGGTGGAACTTGACTTAAAGGCATCTGGAGCTAATTAAAATCTTCCAAAGCATGATTTAAAAGCACTCTGAATTGACTGTGCTCTGATTTCCATAATGCCATCCCTTCAAATATTTCAGAGTTGTGACATATGCTCTCTTGGGATATTTGTCAATGGAAAAGCAACCTATGCTCAAGATCCAAAGCTGGTGTTCTGGCCACAAAATAGGTCACCTCCAAGTTTACTCCTCAACTTGCTTAGCCTCTCAGTCCCTGGGCTCATGGCTGGCTATCACCCCAAGCCATGCCCAGAGCCCACACCTACTCTTTTTTCCTCCATCTTAGAGATCTGTCCATGGGCAATTAGTATCTTAGTTTTCCAAAGTCTAAACCTCGTGCACAGAAACTAAGGCTGCACTAACAGTGATGTAGCTAACTGTACATGTTTGTATCCACCACACAAGGATTTAAATACTATGAATGCTTGTTATGGTTTAAACATTAGCAACTTAGGCAATCAATAATCTTGAATGGGATTTCAATGTTGCTGTTGAGATCAAATACAAAATACCATTACACTCACCACATCCTCAAATCAGAATCAATGATTCTCAAGAAACGGCTGCCATAGGTCAGATGGCGATCTGTGAGATTTTCACCTCGTCTTCAAAAGCTATCAATAGATCAATTTCCAACGTGCTGCATTATGGAAATTACTAGAGTTTCACATCTGCATTAGAACTGAGAGAGGCTGTATCTGCTATGGCCCCACCCACTGCCCACACACAGGGTCACTAGCAAGGGGACCAGGCACCTTTATTCATTTCCCAGATACTCAAAGCCCCACCTGATAGCTTTGTCATTCACACTCAAACAATTTACTGCCAGAACCACTCTGCATTCTGCCTTGTATTGTGGTTGTTTCTGTCTCCAACAGAAAGCACATTGCAAAGGCTCAGGACCACGCCCTACTCCTCTCATTTCCCACGTGGGGCAGCATCAAGACATGATTAAGTGGTCCTGTCTGAAGATTGACAAAGAGACAGATGGGGCTAAAATCCCTGCTCTATGAGACTTGCCTCCTGCTGGACCTTGGGCGAAATATCCTTACTAAGCCTCCATCCTCCCATTTATGAAATGAAGATAGTGCCTACCTCTCAGGGTCCTTGTGATGCTTAGTCCCGGTCTCACATAAAGCCCTTAGCAGAGTGCACAATATCTGGGCCTCAGATATCCATTGAGTGGGGAATTCTAGTGATGCATTTCATCAAAAATGCAGTAAGATACATACATATGATGGAATTCATAATATTTTCCCCTGAAGAAAACTTGGGAATGGAAATTTTCAAGTAAACAACAGAATAAGAAAAACCATAATAATCTTTATATTATTACTCTCCTTCACAGCTTGCAAAAGGTTTTCACACACTATTAACATACTTCATCTATACAATGTCACTGAAAAGTAGATTATTTTTATTTAATGCTCTGCAATATATTCACTGCCCAGAACAGTGTCTGACTCGCAGTATACCTTTAACAAAGAACTACCAAATGAAGAATCAAGCTCAGAGTTCAATGTTGTATCTAGGTTCTTAGAAATCGTTAGAGGTAGGGGAACAAGAACCAGGTCTTAGTACCTGAATTCAAGTCTGTATTCTTTCCCCTCCATTATCCTGTCTCTCGCCACCAGGGCAAGGCTGCAGAGAACTATAATCATTTAAGACACTCTATATTTTCTAGATGAAAATAACTTCAAGACAAGAAAGCAGAGCACTTAAAAGACCCAATTAAAACAAACCAAAAAATTATCACTCGTGTCACTAAGGGAAGAGCTATAGATAGTAACATAACTATTTAAATGCAGATTTTCACTTTCCTCCAAGTATGCTTAGCAAACAACCTTTATCATGGCGTCAGGTGAAACAAACCAAATTTAAAACCCAGATGAATGGAAATATGCATTGGCTGAGTTTGCTTTGAAATAATATGTGGAAGGAGGAAGTGGACAGAGGTAGAAGTAATATTGGCCATGGTCGTGAACAAGGGGGATTCGTTATACTGTTGTTTCTATTTTTATATATGCTTGAAATCTTCCTCAATTAAAACAACGAAGCAAAAAGCTATCCTTCAAATAAACTAATGTATTAGCATTAGGTCCCTACCGTGTGCGGCACATGTGTCCTAGCCCATAACACGGGCTCTGAAGGGACCACATGCATCATGCAGCCGCTGGCTCCCTCTTGAGAACACAGATATTAAATAATCTTTTCATAGACTGTTGAAAGGAGATTCTTTTTAAAAAACAAAATACACCTGAATATTTCACAAAATGAAAACGTCACAGGAAACTTTAACATTTTATAAGTTAGAGCTCCTCCATCCATGTGGTACCCGAGAAGGCATATTTGCTCTTTGAATCAGCAGGAATATTTAGCATTTGTTTTTTTGTGCATCGTCATCGTTTTCTTTGAAGAATCAGTTTCCGCTCAAATACTGTTTCCACCCTTTATCACACTTAATTTTCCCCAATATGTGAGTGCAATCATTACTCCCATTCCAAAGATGAGCAAACTGAGGTTGAGAAAGTGTACGTGGATTGATTGCTCAAGGTCATGCAACTGATCACCATAGGGCTGGAACCGGAACCAAGTCCAAATCCTCCAGCTGCCAAGGTCATTTCACTGTGCCATGGTGCAGCACCCCGAGCAGACATTCTAATGCGTTGGCAAAGAGCACAGGCTCCAGAAACTTCGGTGACCTCAGGAAAGATTATTAAGTAATATCGAGGTTCCTCAGCTTACCATCTGTAAAATGAGTAAAATAATAACAGTGCCTGCCTTTTATGGTCGCTTCGAGAATGACGTGATCTGATATATACAAAGCTC